GAAATGCTTAAATATCATTTTGCATCAATGAGTCGATGCAATCAGCTGGTTTTCCTTAGATAGAAAACTTTGAATCAATCTGACTGGATGATCTGGTGAACTGGAAAGTGACCTGAGATGACATGATGGGAATTGGAGCTATAGAAATAAACTGAATAGAATTTAACTGAATTGCAAAAAAAATGTTAGTAAAAAGTAAAACGTTGTGCAAAAATAATGAATCCAGTAAAGGATAGATAGCCAATATTCTACTTAAGTAAGGGAACGAGATATTCTCTACAGGCCTCAGTCAGCAGGTCAAAGGTTAAAGTTCAACCTGAGGTCAAAGAGCGTTGCTTTGTTTTCACTTATGTAATATTCCAGGACGGCCTGGATGATGCATGTCATTTATTAGAACTGCTCCCCGTGAGCTCGGCTTCTCCTCTCTCTCTCTCTCTCTAAGAATGCAGAGCTGAGCCCGGGCGTCCGGTCACCGCCGGGTCAACATGAGCCGCCTGGTACGGCTACGCCCGTCAGGAAATAACTTCTTTAAACAGGAGGCCTCTTGGGTCTGTTCTTTCACACTAAAGACGAAGTGAAAGTAAAGAAGGCAGCAGCTGAGGATCTATGAGAAACTTTCCACTAAACTGGAGGAAAAACTTCTGCTATGAAATATAAAAGAGGAAAATTAATGCTACTTAATGTTTATTATTAGGAATCAGTCTCTAAAAGTGATAACAAGGAACATAGCAGAATTAAATGTAGTTACTAGTTACAAATAAACTACATTTAATTGAGTAGCCTGAAATAAAAACTTCTTGGAATATTATTACAGTGTTCTACTTTTTACTTTCACTTGTGTAAAAGTGAAATGCTCCATCCATTGTGGGGAAACTGCAATTAGGTTGTTTTAAACAAATATGCACCATGGAGAGAAACACTTTTTTTAACTCAAGGTTCATTTTCCATCTGCTGAATCTGCCGTCTCAGTGAAATTACAATAAACTGTTAATCCATCCATCCATTTTCTGTCACACTCATCTCAAACAGGGTAAGATGACAAGGGGTGCTGGTGTCCATCTGCAGCTGTCAGTGGGTGAGAGGCGGGACAAGTCTCTAGTCCATCGCAGGGCAACACATACAACCATTCACACCTAAGGAGAAATTAGAGAAGCCAATTAATCTAACAGTCAAGTTTTTGGACTGGGGGAGGAAGCCGGAGTACCCGGAGAGAACCTACAGGCAGAACATGCAAACTCCATTCAGAAAAACTCCAGGCCAGGAGTCGAACCCAGAACCTTGTTGCTGCAAAGCAGTAGTGCTACCCACTGCTCCACTGTGCAGCCCAATAAACTGTTCACTGTAATTGATCATGCGAATAAATAACAGCTTCCTGCTTCTCATCCTAAACTGAATCCATCAAACTTCTGCAGGACTTTAAGACTCACTGAGAGGTATTTTTCAGTCAGGCCTGAAACCCAGAGGGCCCAAACAGAAACACAGATTGACCAAAAACATCAGTGTTATAGATTCCTTAACATCCTGCAAGATAAGAAGGCCAGCAGGAGGAAGACTCTGAGGACATTAGTTTAGTTTAGAGGCCGATAACGATCAATGGATCGTCCTTCAGGTGATATAAAAGCAGATGGTGTGCAGGAAAAGAATCAGAGTTCATCTATTTAAAGATCATGACAGATCAACAGGCTGAACTTTCAGCAGGCAGAAACAAAACAATCCAGAGTTTACTTACTGGCTCCTGCCTGAAGCTCAAGGTATTTTCTTTGGACTTCTGTAAGAAGCAGAAGCTGTTCCAGTTTGATATGAAGCTAAAATCCACTGATCAAACTTTTAGTCCAGGAGCTGTTTGTTCGTCTGCAGCAGAGCAAAGTCAAAACGAAAGTGGCTTCCTGCACAGCTGCTTTATAGCGGTTCAGTGCTGTGGGAGGAGCAGAGGAGGAATCTGCTGGACACGTGCAATACCAAGGCTGGAGGGAGGGGGGGTTCTCTGGACTTAAGACTCATTACACTCTATAAAAACAAGAAAAGTTGACAGAACCGCAACTTTTTCTACAAAAAACTTCTACAAAATCAGGTTTTTAGAACTTCAAACATAATTATTCGTGTATTATTTTAAAGTTTGCCTTAAAGGAAAAATCCTTTCAGCAAGGACTTGCGGTGATTTAATTAATT